TTAAGAAATACACAGACAAGATATTCCAAAAGGAAACACACCGATATATTGGTAGCCATTGTCTTTGAGTGGGAAGATTAAGATTTTCTTCTCTATTTTCTAAACATTTTTCAAAAGCAAGTGTTATTTTATGATACAATGGATTGCTTTTATATGGCTTTTCTAGCCATGGTCTTTTAACTCCCATCAAATGACTGTATGACAATGTAAATAAGGTGCTTGTGGCCCACCATGGGGATTGCACAGCTTGTTAATAATGCAAATAAGGTGCATGGCACCCTTGTAGAAATGGGACCATCCAAATAAGGTGTATGGAACCCTAATGAGGGGATTGGTTACTTTTGCCATCTGCTAGGCTTAAAAGAGAGCCAATATCAGAGCAGAGGGGGGAAAAGTCCCCTCTACCACCAAGAATCAGAGAGCAGAGCATGTCCTTTGGCTTGGGGTCCCTGTGCTGAGAACCTCCTAGATATGAGAGAGAGAGAGGGAGAGAGCTGTAACATGGAAGATAGAGAGAGACGGTGATGCAGCAGTAGCAAGAGCGATAGAGGTACGAGACGGCAGGAACCAGGAGACCAGTGTGACAGGGCTACAGTGGGGCTTGCTGACCCCACAGAGCTAAGAGTTGTAATACTTGCTGAAGAAGGTCCCAAGCAGGGCCCAGCAGCAGAGGGCAAGAAGTTATGATCAAGAAGTGTATCCTGAGTTGTTCCTGTTTCTTCTCTGATAAACCACTTAATTGTAAATACGGCTTGTGAGTTCTGTAAATTACCAAATCCAAAGACAGAGGAAAGTACTAAGGGGAGGGGATGTGGTAGTTACATTTGTATGTCAACTTGGCTGGGCCTGGTTGAGTGGCTGGGCAGCTGGTGGTAGTTATTTCCCATGATGAGACTGGCAATCAACTCCATGGTGTGATCTACCACAAGCAGCTGAGTAGCTGCCTTTGGGATGTGGTCTGCTTCCTGTATATAAGGAGAAGCCTTGGGACTGGTCTCTAGCTTATGGCACACTTGGACCCTGCACGTAGCCATGTCATTGTTCAGCAGCCTGCCATGCTTTGCCGACCTTGGGACTTACAATGGATTTAAATTAATGGCCTGCCGTGTGGTTTGATAATATTGGGACTGTGCCTTTTTACTTATCAGCCTCAGTGGCCAGCAGCTGAGTGAAGCTCCAGTGGGCTGGGAGCAGGAGGTAGAGCTGAACCCCAAGGTTGAAGGGCTTTCACCCAGCCCCCTGAGCGTGGCACTTTGAACTTGGACTTAAAGCCTCCCGAACTGTAAGAGAATAAATTCCTGTTTGTTAAGGCCATCCCATTTGTGGTATATCTTCTGTCAGAGCGACACTAGGTAACCACAACAGTAGTTGGTGTTAGAGATAATGGAGTAGTTTGGAAAGCTAGACTTTTGGGACACTTGACCTCTGTCTTATAGGAACCAGCTTTGTGCTGATCCTTATAAAAAATTATTCATTTATATTTTTATTGTTGCTGTTGTCTTGTGCCATCAAATTGATTCTGATTCACAGCAACTCTGTGTATTACAGAGCTGAACTGCTCCATAGGGTTCCAAGGCTGTAAATCTTTATGGAAGAAGGCTGCCTCATCTTTCTCCATCAGAGCAGTCGGTAGGATTGAACTGCCAACCTTTGGTCAGCAACCAAGCTGCTTTAACCACTGTGCCACCAGGGTTCCTTTTGTGCCGCCCAGGGGCCTGTTATTTTTGTAATGTATTTAGCCTTCAATCAGGAAAACATCATTATGTATAAATACAGGTATGCCTCACTTTTCCAAAGTTCACTCGACGCCACGTTGCTTTTACAAACGACCTGCATTAGTACCAGTTTTTGCTAAGTGAAAGAAATCCAAAGAGGACTTTTGCTTTTACGAAAGTGAAAGTAGCCTTCAGCATTTGTTTCGCAGTGAGCCCTCAGAGAGGCAGCACACACCCCAAGCAGTGAGTGGTGTTGCCAAGCTCCTTCCCTGAACTACACTCAGCACCTCGGCATCAAGCTGCCACAGCTTTGAACTGTGTCTGTGAACACTGGATGTTAGTGTTATTTTAGGTTTTGTGTGTTATTTGGTATGATTATTTTTTGGTAAGGTTATATTTTGGGTCTGGAAACACTCAAAAAATTTTCCCATATAAATGAATGGTAATTGCTTCTTCACTTTAAGCCATTTCTGCTCATGAAAGGTTTGAGAGGAACGCTGTACTTCCAGATAGCAAGGAGAACCCGTATTCTGTTAAGTGACCATTCAGCCCAGCCAGTATTTAGGATTAACCAAAAACCAAACCAAACTCACTGCCATAGAGTTGAATCTGACTCACAGCGACCCCCAATGGGTTTCTGAGGCTACAAATCCTTGTGGAAGTAGATCTCCCCTTCTTCCTTCCACGGAGTGGCTGGTGGGTTTGAACTGCTGACCTTCTGGGTAGCAGCCAAATGCCTTATCCACTATGCCAGCAGATCTTAATAATCCTTATTCAGTATATTGGAATTATTTACTGAGTACTTACTGTGCTGACTGTGTAGACCTGTGTGGACCTAACGGTGTGGATTTCATTTAATCCTACTCCATGTGGTAGGTACTATCATCAACTCCATTTTACAACTGGAAAACTGAAGCTTGCAAAGACAATGTGATATGCCCTTGTGCCAAGGCTAGGACCTCAAGATTCTGGGGCCAACTGCTCATGTCAGCTAGAAGGGCTGGTCCTTCTTCAGGTAGGGCTAGGGATTCCCTTACCGAGGCCAGCTCTTTGTTGAGTACCAGAGTCATGACATCATTGGAGCATGTGGGTTGGATCAGGGCCATGAGCAGCTCCTGGTTGCAGCTGTCCTTGGGAAGGGTGGTCTGGACTGGAGCTGGGGAGGTTTGTGGCCCACCGCCTGTAGGGAAGCAGAGGCAGGCCAGACGAACAGTCACAGAGTGCTGGCTGTGCACCGGGCACCAAGCCCTTCTATAGTTAGCAATTCTCACTGTGCCCATTTTGTAGAGGAGGGGAATGAAGCTCAGAGAGGCTGATGCACTTGCCCAAGGTCACACAGTAGTGTGGTGGTGCTTCACCAATGTGTGGCAACTGATCCAAGGGGATAGCAAGTAGAGGGAGGGCTGGATGCTCACCACAGCTGGGGGCCCGAAGTGAGACAGCACTGGCCAGAGGGAGCTCCACAAACGATGCCACAACGCTGGCATTGAGCTTCCGGGCCTCTCCCAGCAGGCCTTGAGGAGTATCTGGGAGCACGAAGCCAGGGATGTTCTTCTCAGGAAAGATCTTGAAGGAGTATTTACCAGTGGTCTAATGGCAGGGAGAGAGGCAGAGCAGGGACCCATGGAGAGAGTCAGGGGGGCAGCAGGGTTATTTCAGGGTTCAGCCCAGCTCCCCTTTGCCCCTGCTGTTTTCTCTGCCTGGGACACTCTTCTTCTCACCTGTTTGTCCTTCAACTCAGCTGGGGATGGGGTGGGGGGAACTCACCTTCTCCAGAGAACCTTCCCTGACCTTTGGAACAGGGAAGGATTCCTGGAGGAGGGGATGTCTAGGCAAAGGTCAGAAAAAAGAATAGGTGGTGGACAGAGTAAAAGCGTTCAGGGCAGAAGGATCATGGGAAAAGACTCTGGCCGGAGGACAGGTGCAGGGGGACCTGGTGTGATGGAGCAGGGCCACAGGCAAGACCTTGAAGGCGGAGGTAGGGGGCTTTCTTCCTTGGGAGTCTTGGTGCGGTCTGTGAGTGGCTGTTTGGGGCAAGACTCACCCAGATCTGCATGTTGTGGGTGGCATCAATAAGCCAGGATACTTCGGGTGGGCCCTGCAGGATGAGGATGGCATCAGGGTCCCCCAACGTGCAGCTCAGCTCCACCTTCACCGTCACTGTCTGTGGCCTGTGGTCAGACAGACAGGGTCAGAGCTGGATGTGAATACGGGACGGGGCGTGGCCTGATAGGGCCAGGCCAGGCCAGGGAAGCGGCCTGGCGTCTGATAGGACAGCAGCTGCACTCTAACCTGGCCAGGTGTAAGGCCTGTGAGGGTGCACAGGCCGGGCTGGGGCGGCTGAAGCCGAGCAAGGTCTGACTAGGAGAGGAGCCCCTTAGGCAGACCAGGCCTAGAGGCAGGTGAGGGTGACCATGCTCTTACCAAACTGGGGCGGGGCCGAGACTAGCCAAGGGGCGGGTTTAATAAAGGGCGGGGTACCCAGAGTGGCGAGGGGAGTAGGAGCGGGCGCCCTTACTTGACCGCGGGGCCTGGCAAGACCCTCAAGATGTGCGCTTCCTTGTGGCCCGCAACGCCTTCCAAGCGGCAGCCCCGGACCAAGGTACGTGGCTGCCACTCGAGCGTGCGGCCCATGTCCAGGCGTTCCTCCGGTAGGCAGAAGGGCTGTAGCTTCGAGTCTGTGGAAACAGCATCCTCAGACCCCTCCCGGAACTGTGCGGAGCCTCACGCAGAGCCCCACCACCCGCAGCCAAAGATGATGGGGTTGGGGAAAAGGAAAGGGGCAGACATAAAGGACCTAGGTTCAAACTCCCAGCTAGGGACTTTGGACCCTGGGCAAATCCCCGAACTTCTGTTTCCTGATCTGTCAGCGCAGGATTAATGTAAAGTATGGAAACACACGTTAGGGTTCTGTTAGCGCTGCACAACCCCCAACCCCAGCACATCACCCCACATTTATCTTTCTCATAGCTTTTACCATGACTTGAAATTATAGAATTTATCTGTGTTCATGTTTATTGTCATCAACCCCACCACACTGTCAATTCCAGGAGGGCAGGGCCTGGGTCTGTTCCTGCAGTGTCCCCAAGTGCCTAGCACATATTAGATGCTCAATAAATAGCATGAAAGTGCTGTTTTTGAAGGTCAAACTGTCAAATAGCAACAATTCCACATGGTTCAATCTAATATGTGGTGAAGGAATAATTACTGTCCCAATAGAACACTGGCTTGCTGTGTGACCTGGGGCAAACCATGTCCCCTCTTGGAGGCTTAATGTTTGTATCTGAGAAATGGACCACTGGAGCTCACATTGCTCCAGAGCCCAGAGAGGCTGCTGGGAAGCTGACCTTGGCTCAGACGGAGGAGGATGTAGCGGGGGTCGTTCAGCTCAGCGACAGAGGCGATAGAGCCCTTTGTGGCTGCCCACTCCAGGAGCTGGTGCTTGATGGTGAAGGATGGCAGCTGTGTAGTGTTGATTCCCGGGGACCCTTGGAAGGTGACCAGGCTGGGGTTCTGCAGAGACGTGCAGAGGCTCAGATGCTTGTCTGAGCCTGAGTCTCTCCCCTCCGAGATGGACAGTCAGGAGGTGATTTGCAGAGGCAGCCAGCATGGGTGAGAAGAGAAGGCCAGGGCTGAGGATGTTCAGTGTGGTAGACTAGCAGTCAGCCCAGACTCCTGGATAGTCCCACCTCCTCCAGGGCAAAGGCTGCCCCATGTCCTTTCTACACTTGCCTGGGGGTCTGGATAGACAAAAATCTATCTGTCCAAACATCACCCCACTCACTGTCCATAGTCATAGTCATTGTCATTCAATCCACATTTAATGACATTACATGGCTAATGTCTGTCTCCCTCCACACTCTGAAGGTCTCTTAGGGACAAAATCTTTGTGCATCACTGCACAGTGTTAGACATAGTAGGCACTGATAAATATTTGTCTGACTTTGTGCTGGGCTCTGGGCCCAGCATCACAGATCCTGACATGTCAGTTTCATGCTGATGCCTGGCACCTGGTGAGTGCTCTCTGCACATGGGAAGGAGAGTGGAAGGAAAGGAAAGAAGAAATGGATGAATGAATGAATGCGTCATTTGAAACAATAGAAAGCAGAGGATATTAATAAGAAACAAAGGAGGAGCGAGACACGTCCCCTTGGATGGTAAAGGATGGGGGATCTGGAAAACTCCAGCACCCTACTGCCTCCCACTGTCCATTAGTCAGGTGAAACCTTGGTGTGTTGGGGGAAGGAAACAGGGAGGGCTTCCTGGAGGAGGTGATTGGGAGATGCTGGAAGATTCAGAGGAAGCTGTTGGGGCCACAGACTTAGGGTCTGGTTCCTCTGTGCTCCCTCCCTCTCCAAAGCCAGAGACATTGGGCTGAAGTAGCAACAGCATGAGAGCTTCAGGTTAGGTACTAAGGACTGCCTGACAGAGATAGTATGCAAGACACCACAGAATGGTTCACCTACAAAGGAACACTCTACTTTCTCTACAGGCATTGAATGAAAGTGCAAAGTGATGAGCACCTTGGTGGGGGGCAACTCAGCCCCTATAGTGGGAAAGGCTGGGCAGGATTAAGAGCTGGGACCTGGGGGATCCTGAGAGGGGCCCCCTACCTCTCTGTCACAGGGTCATCATCTGTAAAATGGGGATAGGACAGAGATTTACAAGCATGACATTTGTCAATAGCCTGGTGCTGGCCTGGTGCAGAGCAAGGGCCTCCTACGTGGCATCCGTGCCCCAGGTCTGCCTGTGGCCGCAGAAACCGGGGCCCTAATCCCTCTTTGCCCCTCTAGCCCAGTCAACCGGCTCCGGGGAGCCCGCTCAGGAAGCTGCACGTCCCGCGATGCGCAGCTCCGACGCCCGCTCACCCCACCCCCACCCCACACACCCCCACATCCCGGTTCTCTTGCCCAGGAGAGGAAGGCGCAGCCAAGGCTGGAGCCAGCCGCCGCTGCGACCTTCCGGCCCAGCGGGCGCGATGCACGTTCCCTGCGTCATCCTGGGCCCGCCCGGACTCAGATCCCCAGGGCCCGAGAAGGGGTGTGGGGAAGAAGGAAGGGAGGAGCAAGGTCCCGCTCTCCCCGACGCCTCGATTTCCCTTTCTGGGAGCCTCGGGATGAACCAGATGGGGTCGGTGCAGCTTGGCCCTTGGCCCTGGGCCCTCCTGTTTGTCTTTGGCTGGCGCCCTCTCTTCTCAGGGACTTTCCGTGCTGGCTCAGCCCGGTATGTCAGTCTGTCTTTGTGCTATCTCTGCTGTCAGGCTGGATTCTTCCCCCATCCTCTCTTAATCTGCCTCTCCTCTTGTCTCCCAGCCCACCCTGGCCCAGTTTTGTCTGGGGGTCCATTCCTCCCCACCTTTCCTTTGCCTCTGTGGGTGCCTCTGATCCGCACGCCCTCTTTCATTTTCCATCTTTCCTTCTGTGTCTCTCCTCATCTTTCCTCCCTCTCCTGCCCTTCCCTCTGGCCCTCTACTTTCTGTTGCTGTAAACAACAGCTGCTCACATCCTGGGGCAGCCTTGGGACCCCAACCGAAGGGCCGCCTCCCAGTGCTTTCCCTGTGGAGGAGGGCAAGCAGTCAACTTGCCTCCTTCAGCCCTGGCCTCTGTGGCTCCGGCCAGCTGACCTCCTCTCTGGTGGATATGCCCAACACTTTTAAAACTTGTGTTTTTTAAAAATAATTTTTTCCAATGTAGGCCATGTTCATTAGAGCAAATCTTGCAAATTCAGCAAAATGTAAAGAACAAAATAAAAACCTTTTCTTGACTCACTTCCCAGCTATACGTATTGTTAACATATTGCTAGGGTTCCTCCTGGTCCTCTTCCTCTGTACTTACATATTTTCAAATACTGTATATATCTTAAGGTGCTCTGGTAGCATAGTGGGTAAGGCATTTGGCTGCTAACCAGGAGGTCAGTGGTTCAAACCCACCAATTGCTCCTCAGGAGGAAGATGAGGCAATCTGTTTCTGTAAATATTTACAGCCTTGAAAACCCTATAGGGGTCACTATGAGTCAGAATCTACTCGATGGCAGTGGGTTTGGTTTTGTTATGTGTCTTGCAGCTTTTTCCAAGAGGATAACAAGATTATTTTCTAGACTATCATCCAGGCCACTTCTCCCACTGGACAGAAGGGCAAACTGAGGCTACGAAAGAGGAGGGCAGTTGGCCAGAATTGCACACTGCCTCTTTACTCCAGTCCAGCTATCCTTTGGGTTCTTTCTTCAGGACCCTGGTTAATGATGTCAGAGTGAAAATGAGAAGCAGAGACCCTGAGGTGGAAGACCCAGACCCACAGAGGTGGACAGCAGGGGCCCCTCACAACCGGCAACTCAGCCTGGGGTTGGAGGTCACACACTCACGCAGGCCAGTTGGAGGGGGATTCCCGGGGCCTGGAGACGCAGAAAGACATTCTTGTTTACGTAGAGGACCAAGAGCACCTCTCGGGGCTGGATGTGATTTTGCTCGGATGCTTCAAAAGTCAGCTCCAGCTCTGACAGCGCCTGGGTTGGGAGCAGGGTAGAGACATACACATAAACGGTCACACAGGCTGGTACGACCCAGGTCGGTTGTGATGTTCACTCTTAGCACCCCTTGCAGGCACAGGCCTCTCCCTGCCCACCTTGTCTAGCCCCACGCCCAGTACCCAGCATAGTGCTGACCCTCAGGGAGTGCTCAGAAAATGTGGTTGTTGTTATGCGCCGTCGAGTCAGACCCAACTCATAGTGACCCCTCCTTGGGTTTCTCCTTGGGTCTCCGAGGCAGTATCACTACGGAAGTAGATTGCCCCATCTTCCTTCCGAGGAGTGGCTGGTGGATTTGAACACCAGCCTTCTGGTTAGCAGTCAAGTGCCTTAGGCACTATGCTACCAGAGAGCTCAGAAGATATTCTCTGCTAATTCCAAGAGAGAGAATATGAGATGAGCCTGAACTTCATCCACTGGTCAATCAAGGCTTATTATTGCTATGGAGCTCTGGCCGTATACTTAGTCGGTCTGTGATTTAGAGAGTGCCCTGTGCCTTTTCTCTGTCTTCATGCCACATTGTTGAGTCAACGACTCCTTCACCACCCCTTACCCACTTTCAGGCTGCCTCTGGGTGACAGATCTCCTTTCAGCTACACCAGGCATTCACAATTACTCTGCCAGTTTTCAGTATTCCTGTTTGTCGTACTATTTTTAAGTACTAAAATGCCTGTGTTTTTGTTGGCATGGTATCATTATTTTGATGTTTTAAAAGAATGTGAAGTTGAAATCATTTATGTTTTGAGGTGTGCGGACTGCATTAAAATTTTTAATTGATAAAAAATAATAAACTTCAATTAGTTACGATGGCACATAACAACAACAACAACGGTTAATAGTTGTTATGGATTGGATTAAGGAGCTCTGGTGGTGTGGTGGTTAAGGCATTTGGCTGCTAACCAGAAAGACGGCAGTTTGAACCCACCAGCTGCTCTGTGGAAGAAAGATGAGGCAGTCTGCTTCTGTAATGATTTACAGCCTTGGAAACCCAATGAGGTCGCTGAGTTGGAATCAACTAGTAGCAGTGAGTGAGTGAGTGTGGATTGACTTGTGTCCTTCAAAAAGATATGTTGAAGTCCTAACTCCTGGTACCTGTGAACATGACCTTGTTTGGAAATGAGCTCTTTAAAGATTCAACATGTGGTCATACTAGAGTAGGTTAGGTTCTAACCCAATCCTTATAAGAGAGAAGAGATAGAGACAGGCAGAGGAAAGATGGCTATGTAAACATGGAGGCAGAGTTGGATTTATGCCCCAGCTTTAAGGCCTGTGGCTGCCAGAAGCTGGGAGAGACAAGAAGTCCCATAGAGACACCGAGAAAGCATGGCCTGGCCACGTGTTAATTTGGGCATCTAACCACTGCCAACCACTCAAAAAGGGATCAGATTTGGAGATCCTGGATAGAGTGAGAGAAAAATGTAGAACAAAATTCAAAATCATAAAAATGCCCAGGGTTGCTGGTCTGATAGACGCTGGTGAAACCCCCGAGACTATGGCCCCTAGTCATCAGGCCTGAAATTGTACTCACTCCCATAGCTCAACTTCCAGCCAAACAATACACAGGAGTGTGAGGTGAAGGATTACACCAGGTAGGTACACTCTTTGGAACAATCAACCATGGGAGATCAGAAGGGCAGCATTTGCACAGGGAGATAGCTCAGAGGGCAGGAATGCATAGGAAAGAAGGACACAGGGAAAAGGGAGGAAGTGGGAGGAGAGCTGTTATATTATGGGGACTGCAATCAGTGTTGCAACTGACACTGGATTGGATTAAGGAGCTCTGGTGGTGTAGAAACAAAATTCATATGAACTGTTGAATGGAAAACAAATTTGCTCTGTAAACTTTCCTTCAAATTGCAAGAAATTTAAAAAAAAAGCAGGAAAGCATCTAGCCTTCAAAATTTTGAAACAATAAATTTTCATTCTTATAAGCCTCTCAGTTTGTGGTATTTCATTACAGCAGCCTTAGGATATGAAGGCATGGTATATGTGTATGATTTAGAATGCTTTCTTCATCATCAGAACCAAATCCATTGGTGTCGAGTTGATTCTGACTCATAGCAACCCTATAGGACAGAGTAGAGCTGCCCCATAGTGTTTCCAATGCTGTAATCTTTATGGAAGTAGATTACCACATCTTTCCCTGGTAGAGTGGCTGGTAGGTTTGAACTGCTGCTCTTTCGGTTAGCAGCCTTAGCAGCCAAGCGTAATACCTAATATTTATATAGCAGTTACTATGTGCCAGGAACTGTTCTAAGTGCCTTACACGTTAACTCATTTAATCCTCACGACTCTATTATTACTCTCAGTCTGGTGGCCTAGTGCCTAAGGCATTTGACTGCTAACCAGAAGGCTGGTGGTTCAAACCCACCAGGCACTCCTTGGAAGGAAGATTGGCAATCTACTTTAGAGACACTGCCTTGGAAACCCAAGGAGGGGTTGCTGTGAGTCGGATCTGACTGCACAGCAGCAAGTTTACAGATGAGAAAAGTGAGGCACAGAGAGGTGAAGTCTTTTCTCCAAGATCACAGAGCAAGGAAGGGTGGATCTGCAATTTGAATTCCGGCAAGACTCTGCAATTAACCACTATCCTGCCCTGCCACATTTTTCTATACCTCCTTCTTCCCAAGAGGAAAAAGAATACAATTCACAAGGCAAAGCTTCTATTGGGAAGAAAAAAAAAAAAAAAATGACCCCCTGCTCTACTCACAAAGGAGCCCTGGTGGCACACCAGTTAAGCGCTCAGCTGCTAACAGAAACGGCGGTGCTTCGAACCATCAGCTGCTCTGTGGGAGAAAGATGTGGCAGTCTGCTTCTCTAAAGACTATAGCCTTGGAAACCCTCTGAAGTAGTTATACTCTATCCTATAGGGTTGCTATGAGTTGGAATCGACTCAATGACAGTAGGGTGAGTTTTGGTTTTTGATCTGCTTGAAAGGAACCCTGGTGGTGCAATGGTTAAGCTCTTGGCTGCTAACTGAAAGGTTAGTAGTTCGAACCCACCAGCAGGAGAAAAGACCTGGCAATCTACGCCTATGAAACCCTATGAAGCAGTTTTACTCTGTACTATAAGGTTGCTCTGGTGGCGAATGTGAACAGGTGAACAGAGACTGAGGCAGGCAAATGCCCAAGGCCTAGCCTCATGAGACACAGAGGAGTGGGAACACTTTACTGAAACACAAATTCCAGCAGCTCCCAAATGAAGGCTGGCAGTTCTTACAAAGAAACAAAAAGTTGACCGAAAAAAATCTTTAAAGTTATCAAAAAGGAGAGGGGAGATGGGTATTTAAGGACAAAGATGCTAGTGGAAATTTTTTGGATTTTGCTTCTAATCATCTCAGTTTCCCCAGCTGATGTCACAGAGCCAGAGATGGCTTTCCAGCCACTGGAAAAATCTGCCTGGAAATATTTCCATTACTCAGTGACGATACCATATTCACTCTTTGTTTTTGCGTTTGCTCTTTTTTTTAAAAAAAAGCAAATAATATTATTTCATTTTTCAGTGTTTCACAAATAAATATTTTTAGTGAGCTACCTAGCTGGATTATTATTAAATAATTATTTTAATGGTAATTTATAGTAGAGTGATAAGATATGTTTGAAATTTATGTTTGTATAAGTTCACATTTTTTTATTAATGCTTTTGTGTTTGCCAATTATGATTTTTTAAATATTTCATGAACTTTAAAAAATCTTGTGTATTCTGTTATGTTGTTGGTTGCTATCGTGTAGTTTTGACTCATAGGGACCCCATGTCCATGTGACGGAGGAGAACTGCCCATAACGTTCTCTAGGCTGTAATCTTTACGAGAGCAGGTCACCAAGTGTTTCTGCCACCGGGTAGATTCGAATAGCCAGTCTTTCAGTTCACAGCCGAGTGCTTACCCACTGTGCCACCAGATCTCCTTTTATGCATTCTAAACACTGGAAACAAAATTAAATCCTGGATTTAGTACTGGTATTTTGGTAAAATAGGAAATAAGTATCAGAACTGACATTTTGTTCCCGGATCGTGATCAGTACTAGGGATTAACTGGAAGAAACTGAGACCCACCTCCACATTGTCTGAAAGGCCCAACCACAGACAATCTGCCAGGATCTTTGAGAACAGACCCACCCAGCCTCCTTACCCTTACTGTGCTTGTTCTGTTAGCTTGACCATATGAAAGGGCTGTTTTTGCAAGTCAAAAACAATCAGATATGCTTTCACAACTCCGAATCTAGTACAAAACACTCAACTGTATACTTTAAATGGGTGGATTTTATCTCAATAAAGCTGCAAAACAAACAAACAAATCAAATATTAATAACTTCACATGGATCCACTTAATCCATGACTGACCCCGTGCTGAGCAGATTGCATGGGTTATCTCACTAAAGCAGGAACAATTATTCTCTCATTTTACAGACGCAGAAATTGAGGCTCAGAGAGGGAACCTGCCAAGGGAACCACTGGTGCGTAGCAAAGGACCCTGGTGCGTGACACCTTTGTACCAGAGTTTAGCCTGTAACCAACCTGTGAGCCTCTGGGCAGCTTGAATGTACCACGTCTGTCCTGTCAATACCCACCTCTCTCCCAGACCCACGTCTGACCCCTCGCTTTATCTCTGTTGGACTCAATCAATTTGTCCCCAAATGGAGCAGGAGTGAGCTGTGAAGGTCATATTCAATAAAGTGACAGCCCCTATGGGCTGCCGGATGGTAGCCAGGACATCCCCTAGGCCACAGTGGACAAGGAAATCTGTCCTCTGCCCCTTGGTGGAGACCCATGGGCCAAGAGGGCTGTTGGAGCCGGAGAGAGCAGCTGAGAACATAGGCTCTGAGTTGAGAGGCATGGTCCCTGCAACTGTTTCAGTCCTACTGTTGCCCTGCAAGAGTTCCCAGCCCTCTGCACTTCAGTTCCTCATCTATGAAATGAGGGTGATCTGGAACCAATGCCAAGTGGGGCTCTAGCAAAGAAGAGTGAAGAGGCAGGAGCAA